AAAAAAAAAAAAAAAAAAAAAAAGAATCATCTCTATGTATTTCAATTTCCAGAAAAGAAATTATTTGTTGTTCAATTTTTGTTGATTCTCTATGCATTGATGGCTGCTTGAATTTGCTCCAGGGTTCTCCCCTTTGTTTCAGGTACCACTGCGATCACAAATACTATAGCCAGTGCATTGACTGCAGCATAGAGGAAAAATGTTCCTGAAAATCATGCAACACACAGGTCAACTTTCACCTTTAGTTACAATTTATTCGTTCATCGTAAAATGCAGTGGAAACTGGAAACCTGTTTACAGGGAATGATATTTGGAATTTCAAATTTGTTTCTTTTGACTAGTTAATTTGCTTGCATTGTGGTGTTGTTTCTACTTGTTACTCCTCATTTTGTTGCAATGAAAATAAGGAAAAGAATAGTCACTGTATTTACCATAGGAGCTCCACTCCACAAGGAAATTGAAACTGTATGAAACTGCCCATGCTCCAAACCAGGTGACCAGTGTTGCTAGGCTTCCTGCTACTCCTTTGATATTTATTGGGAATATCTGCAGAAAAGGTGAGGTTAAGAAAAGTTGAAATAATAGTACAGGAATGCGAATGGTGTATCTTGCTAACTTCTTGTTACCTCAGACATTACAACCCAAGGAACTGATCCCATCCCTGCTGAAAAAAATCCTATGTATGCCTGGTCTCAAACAAGATATGTTAGAAAGGTAACAAAGGAAATATGATAAGCTGCATTTTTTCAAATCAAGTTGATGGAAGACTATTGTTTACCAGTATGCCTACTACTGCAAGAATTGGAGCTGTGTCGACTGCCAGCCCGTGTTCCTGTCGGAATAGGTTTTCCAGATATTAGTAATATAGAAAGCAAAAATGATGTTCTTACATGTAAAAATTTGACAGGTAACCTTAAGATAGAATGAAGTTCCGGTCAGCAGACAGCCTATAACCAATCCTGCTGCAGCCACCTAGAAGGAAGGAAAAGTGTGAGGTTGACCCTCTAACCGTTAAGAAGGATTTGGAAAGAAAACTGAAGAGCTTAAATGTGATCTGATTTACAGTGTACCAGTATTAGGGGCTTTCTTCCAGCTCTATCAATCACAACTGTGTTAAGTGCAGTAACCACAACCTGCAAAACAATTGTGTCAAGCTAATCCTGGCAGGAGAGAAATAGGTAGATTTCTGAGGGAGATAAAACCTGAAGAACAGCATAGATTATGGTCCCAAGGCTGGAAGAGAACCCTGAATCATTATCAATAAAAAAAGGTGAAATGGTATTTTAGAATGTCTTAGTTATTAGATTTGTTGTTTGTTTAAAAGAATAGAAGTGGTAGATTCTAAAGCCTAGCTGAGAATTTGTTTCTATCAAAATTGACTTGGGAAATTTGTTTTAGATACTTCAGAAATTTTGTTCAAAAACATTATCAAAGGAGAAGAGACCAGGATTTTCATTTTTTTTTTTTCTTTATTCTGGCATTTGTAACTTTTATTAAATTCCCTTTACCTGCTGCCTCAAAAATATAGCTGACGTAGAAGCAGAATCCATTGATTCCTCCAAATTGTTGGAAGGCCATCAGTCCAACTCCAATCTGGTCAGAGATGAGTGTTTAGAAAGGTGAAGTTAATGAAGGTGGAAGAAGTTTAATATGATTGAAGATTGCATCAATTTATGGTACTGTTTCAGTAAGAGAGAGAGAGAGAGAGAGAGAGTTACAATGACTGAACGCAAGTATCTTCTTTGAAACAAGTCCATGATTTTGGCTTTTGGGAGCTGCTCGAGAGTTTCTATATAGTCCTGTCAAGAATGCCATAATCCTCTATCTATACATTTTCTTACAATGCTTAATCAGTTTTGGATCAACATAATGTATTTCAGAATAAGAACCTGAATTTCAGCTGCCTCGTCTGATATATCAGCATCCTTGCCACGAAGTTTCTGTAGTGCAGTTTCAAAGCCCCTGTGCCGTCCTGTCTTTGCCTGCATACAATGATTAAATTGATTTCATCGTCAATTTAATGTTACTGTCATTCATACACAAAACTTTCTCTTGGTTTCAGTGACATTTGATACCAGCCATCTTGGAGACTCTGGAATGAAGAAGAGACCAAAAACCACAACTGCACAAGGAATGAGTCCTGCAAGCACCTTGCAAATGAGTCCAATGTTGCACTAATATTTTTAATGTCCTCTCTCTCTCTCTCTCTCTCTCTCTGTGTGTGTGTGCTGCGTGCACGTGTGTGATTTTGCAGAAGATTATGCTTTCTCTCTTTTGTTTGATGCTTGAAAACATTTAATTAAGTGACAAAGCCTCTTACCAATTAATGCCAAAGCCCTCCATGTTACGAATGTCCCTATAACAAAGGAAACAGAAACTCCAGAAACAATCAGAAGCTGTAGAAAAAGAAGAGATAGAATTAGATATAGCAACCTCATATCTAACCTGGTGATTTGCAATCAGTGTTAATGTTTATGTATGGTCATGCTGATCATGGATCAGAAAAAATGTCAACGTGTATATATTGTAAAATTTAGATTATCTGATGGCACTTCATGGAAATCATATTCATCTTTCAGAAAGTGAGATGATATGAAAACCTTCTGCTTGCTAGTTTTTTAGCACATTTTACCTGATTTGCAGCTGTCAGTGCTCCTCGAAGCTCCTTAGGTGCAATTTCAGCTATGAAAACCGGTACCTTGAGATAGATTTAACAATGGTATCAAAATAATCAATCACATGTATTCTATAATGTAATCATAGGAGGTTTAGAACTGGAGTGCTTGAAATGTCATGGAAACACACCACATAGGAATAGACTCCTGTTCCGTATCCTGATGCCAATCTTCCAATGTCCAATGGAATAACCCCCTTTCATTTCAATCAAGATAGAGAAGAGATTATTAGGCTATATTTCTGAAAAAATGTATCAGATTATTCATAGTTCAAGCAATGGTGAAACCAGGGATTAAGATGTTATATACACCTTAGCAAAGTAAATAGCAAGCCACCCTGCAACACAAACGGCACTGGCTACCCTCATTGCCTGCATATATTTGCAAGGAACAAAGTGTTAATTGTGTGGAAATCAATGCCAAAACTAGATTTAGGTTAACGAAATCATTTTTTTCTGCCTACCCCCTTACGACCAACAAGATCAGCAATAGGTCCACTCGTAATTGCACCAATCATTGCACCAAAAGTCAATATAGAACTAAACACTGAAAACTGCAAAATGAAAGAAACAAGTGAATTTGTTTGAAGCTTCATCTACATGTTGTGAGGATAGTCATTCACACCATCCTCACATTTATCCATTTTTAGTGTTACATTTTCGGTTTTCCTGCTTAAAAGTTATTCCCACTGCATGGTATTATTATTTTTAGCACTCTGAATACAATTCATGATAATTCTTATTTCCCCATTTTGAAATCAGCTAATTCTCCTGCACTTATGCTGATATCCATGGCCTTCTCTTGATGAATTTCTGTGTCAAATGTTAGCAATGATCACAGTTACAATTATTTACTTGCATAATTCTCTATCTTGTTTAAGTACTCATATTTATATATGAGAAAGGATCCATTGACACACAAATCTTACACATTACACTCACGCAAAATCTTAACTATTCATCCTTCCGCTTTTAATGGTTGAAATTTATCATGATTTTTTAAATGGAAAAAATAATTATCCTTAATAAATGTGAGTAAATCTCAGCTATTGAAAGTGAATAAATGAATAGTTGAGATTTTGTGGAAATGTAATATGTAAAATTTGTGTATAAGTGGATCCCTACTGTTCACTCACTTCTGCTGTTGATAGGGAGAGATCTTCCATGATAGCAGACTCAGTAGGTGATGAATAACCTACCTGCAAAGCAACAATGAACATTAGAGAACACCAGATATGACATTCCTTTCTTCTCTTTCTATTCAATTGTAGGAAATACAACAAGGACACCCCCTTTCCCAAATTCCCCTCTCCATTCCCATATTCAAACTATAGATCTCCAACTTGGAATTCTCTGCCCAAACTGTTAGGCTTTGCTTTAGGACCATACATTACATTCATTGTTAATAGTACTAGAGCAAGCAAAATTTTCATTCTTGAATTAATGAATGTATCTGTTCCTATCTGTTCAGCTTTAAAATAAGACAAGCCACTTACACAGCATCCAAATTCATAGGAACCACAGACTGCAACAAACGTGGAGAGATAAACCATCCATTGATTCCCACCATGGTGGTGAGTAGTTCCATCCTCCTCATCGACCATATTCTTAGGCTGGTGGATCAGAGGTGCTCTCACCTCCGCATCACCGTTGTTTATAACATCTTCTAAAGCCATGTCTCTTCTGTCTACTTAGCTTTCAGTGTATATCTATCTCTGCAACCTGCAAAGAGAGATCAATATGGGAAAGAGAAAAGTCTTGAAGAAAAGAACTTCGGGATGAAGACAATACAGAAAAAAGACTTTTTCTGGCACTCTCTGATATACGTGTATATATATATATATATAGGAGGTAAGAAAACTGAATTAGCCACGATCTTATCTTATACTCTCTCCTAATGTGATTTTAGTTATATCAATTTATCCATTCATTTATGATTAGGAAGAAATTTATTTTTTTATTTTTGCTTTTACTTATATGTAGTACAGAGTAATTAAATAAAAAAAATTTAACACATTTTTATCATTTTAGAGATAAAGGCAAAATTAGAATTAAAATATTAATATTTAATATCTTATTAAGATAAAAACTAAAAAGTAACACAACTAAGTTAGATCACCTTTATTTTTTTTTAAAAGTATTTCTTATCTCAAAATAATTGTTATTTTTTTTACTTTTCTCCAAATGGATTTAAGGATAATTTATGTATTTAGTTATATCATCCTTAAGAAAATATAAAAATAAAGTAAGAATTTTTGTGATAAGATAATTAATTAAAATAAATAGATAATGATATGGCCAAATAGAAAAAAAATATTTGTCTAAGATAATTAATTTAAAATAAATTTAAAATAAAAAACACAATAATTATTTTAAAATAAATAATGTAAAATAATTATATTAAATCACCTATATATATATAAGAGACAAATTTTTTTTTTTTGACAAGAGTAATGGTTAGAAAGTTAGTATGAATTAGTTGTTAACAACTGGTGATTCGATTTTCAGACCGAGTGAAATTTTCAGACCGGGTGAACATTCTATCACCTCAAATGAGGCGCGCAGCCATCAGGTCGCTTTTGGTAGAGTTCACGACGGTGGTAGAATTCGAAATTCCGACCACCTCACCTAAGCACTTAAGGTTTGAGGTCGAATCATTAGGTTTAAAAACCGGTTCATACAAGAGACAATTAAACCATGCTAAAGAGAGTAATAAAGTTTTACAACACGATCATTGGCCCATTATTACCATCTGCTTTTATATTTACAGAGTTGCTGTAATAATTTTGTTAA